CTCATGCAGTCATTGCCGATTGCAATACTGAGTCTAACTATAAGAGAAAGCCCAGCGATGGACGTGTAGTATGGTTGAACGTAATGGTCATTTGAACATAACATGTGCGATTTGCATATTAAAAATAAACGAATGCTTCTTACCAATCGTTTGTTGTTCTCTTGCTCGATTTGTTCAATGCGCAGTTTTTGCTCAATGTTGAGTATCTTCTCGTCTTCCAGCTCACCCTCTTGCAAATGCTGCTGATGCTTATAGAACTCTTCTAAACGACTTCTCTGTTTGTGATCATAAAAACTTTTCAGCAAACCTTTGATCAGCATTCTACCCAACTGAAAATCGCAGTTATTTGAAGGAAATCGCCATAAACACAAACATAAACCATAAAAAGTACAGCATGAACATTGTCATATCAATGCAATAAACGTGATCATTACGAAATTTGCATAAATTTGCGTAAATCTTCCTGAATTTACAACCGAATTCAAATGGAAGTAATCAATTGGAGAGTTGAAATGGGATTTAATTTTGAATTCGATTTCACCACTGATCATTTATCAATGAATCATTGATTACTGATAATGAGATCAATCAGTAGATTGAAAGATCAGACAGATATTAATCAAGGAAGAAATTAAACTTCTTATGAATGATGTGATCAAATCAATTTCCTCACTTCATAATAGAAGTTTTTTGACTGTTTAAATGCCATATTAAAGCTTCAAACTATTCTTCAATGACTATTTATTGAACTAACTGGACACCTTCCCACTGTATATTCCGTAAGGATGCCGTAAACTCTCAGAAACAATGAACACCAAATGAATTTTTCAAGTAAAACAAGTGCGATGAGCTGAGGCTTATGTGCCGATGTGTTTATCACTTATCATTCTACTGATAAACGATCACGTCGCACTGATAAGAGTTGCCATGTTTTTTTGCGGAATACTTCATTTTATCTTACTCCTTACACTCTCACTTCCATTTTTTNTTTTTTACATCACTTCATCGTTTATGACAGCTGTTGAAGATGTGATGACGTTTAACGTGATGTAATGCAACCGGAGAAGTATCTTGAATGAAGTGCAAAAGTTTATACAAATAATTAACATCGCAATGGAAACGCAAACAAAATCGCGTCATTGACAGAACAAAGAAATGAAATTGTTAGTAATTTTAAGCCTCAAACAATGACGATAATAATAGTAGTTGCATAATACTAACAACAATAGTAACAGTGACAAACACTGAATAATAACAATAAAATAATGATAATAATAACAGTAATCATCGCATTAACTGAAGCTAGAATAATGAACCGTAACAATATCATAACTAAAGTAATGAAAACAACGATAATATCGATGATAATAATAAAGATTACACTGTTAATAAACGGATAACTATGTAAATACGAGATCACCAACGAAAAGCATGCCAGCAAACAGCAAACAACCAATTAAGGATTGACCAAAACAATGAAGCAATAAAACAGCTGATAACAATAAGTATCGTTGACGTAATAAACAAAACACAACCCCTCTCATCATAGCGCAAACCAATGATAATGATTTAAAATACTGCGATACGTAAAAACAAATCGTCACAATTCCGAAAAATGAATCTGTAGATAACTTTATCATTATAATCGTATTGTACTTTACACCATATAATCACGATTGGATGGCTACTTTTTAAATTATTTGATTAGTTATATTTTTGATTGGTTACATGATCACAAGTTAGTAATATGAACGAATTTCAAAAAATCTTTATCATCAAATATCCGGTGTTTCATGACGTGGTGGGTGCCATCGTAACAATCGCGGCTTCAGCAGAAGTTTCGGCTTTTTGATGAGGCCATTTCGTTTACGAAAATCAACGAGTTTACGCGTGATATACATCGTTTGTTGACCACACCAGTTACGTGTTAAACCGAGCGCATTCAACGTGTCTGAAACAATCGTTCCATCAAAAAATGCGTATTTACTAATTGATAACAAACATTTTCAATTGATACACTTTCATATCTAACATTAGGATGAATAATCGAACACATATAACAGCAACGCTGATCACAATGATAATAATAACAATCAAAGCGCTCACCAATGATATCGTCCGAATGAATGCCCGTCGTACGACTCAAATCGGAAATGGTAACTTTATTTCCTCGGTCAAGCGCATCAAAAACCACCCATGACCAGTACGAGCGGTAACCGAGTATACCCAAATCGCTTAACGGTTTCTCCGGCGAGCCAATCAGACCTTCACGCTTCGACAGTTCATAACCTATTACACAATTTCATTAAGTGCAATATTACACAACATCATATCGCACAACACGGAAACAAACATAATACAACAACAAATTCAATTATAATGTAACAATAAAAAGAAATCAATGATATTCAAAAATGAATATGAAAAAATGACGGCAACAAAAGTAATAACGTCAATAAAGAAACTACTCATTATTAAAATCGCAATACTAGCAATAATAAGAATATAATCACTCAATAACATCATTAATTTACTCATAAACTTACTCGAACATTAATATTTTCTATTCAAATAAACGAACAAATTGCAAAAACAGCAAAAATACCAACTCAGTTGTATCAGAAATTTCCCATAACCCCGTTGCTGGAATGGCGGCAGAATGCAGATACACGCCAAATTATTTCCATCGGGTGACGAACGCTCTTTCGAGAAGAACCCCACCAAATGCGCACCGTTATCAACCAACTATAACTAATTTCTTATAGAAAGCGAAATGAACAACTCAACAAAAACTACAAATCAATATCTAACTGAACAAACCAAAACCAAAACATTAAACTAGTAAGTTAACATAATATAGCATCTGATGACCATCCCGAATCCATTTCATACTATGCTTCAGATACCTCAAAAAAATGTTCAAATCCTCAAAACAACACCAAAAGTGAAGTAAACAGAACGTATAATATTGAATTATTCTCAAAGACAAAATCCTACCTCGCAAAGGATATAGAACAGAAACGGTTCCACGTCGAAATACAGTGTTTTATGATCGAGAAAAAGTTTCGCCAGTAGGCAAAGGCATTGACAATACACCTGAAACAACAACCTCACTAACCACTCGACTGTTCACGATAATAAAAGACACTGATTTAAACACAACTTTACATTAAACTAAACTTCAACTGAACACTTTTAAAAAGCTTGCACCTTAGAGATCTTCACATTATATTCAACCAACAGATGCATAATTTTTAAGCGCTTGAAGATGACATCTATGAATTGAGGAAGAACCGAAGAGATGCAAAAAACATGCGAAAACCTTGTTCTCTCGTCCGTTCACTTCAAAAACTGCCAATGTTTTATCGCGATATATCTCCTCGCCAGGTGGTTTACGTCGTTTGCATTCGTGCAAATGTGTTCGATAGGTGCGTTCGTGTTTCATATACTTCATGCAATAGTCACAAATGAACAACATCCTCGATTTACCGTACTCATCCGGATACGGTGAGAAATACCACGTATCGATCTCATATTTCCCGTATCTGATGCGTTCAATATGCTTCACTTTGGTCACCTAGAACATTCATCTCACTCAATTCAACTAACCACCTATTCAAATCGAATCAAAATTCAAATCTCAAATGCAATCAATTTCAAATCGCATAATTTTATTCTTTAACAAAAATAAATTCAATTCGTTTCCATTCCTTTTCTTTCAGATATGCAAGCCGAGCACCAAGGCGTTTGTGTATTTATTCAACTATGAGTATAGTTTATAAATCTTTAGCTCAACCGAATCCTCGGTAGTTAAAAATTCAATGCAGTTGACCAGGCAGTAAGCAAAACGGACGATCAACTAAAAAACAAACCTCTTCATGTTCCTTTTCAAGTGCAGCTGTTAGCGCATCAATATTTGCGGCGATCCCGTAGGACGATGAGGATGAGGTGCCACATCCATTCACCATTTCATCGTAACGTCGCTTCTGATTACGAGTGATCTTACGCCTGTTCTCCTCTCTTTCCTACAATCAACCTTTCAATTACTTCAGTTTTGATTGCCACTTTTCAACAACTTATATGACGAATCGAAAACTGATTCAAGAACTCTGCAAAGTTATTCGACTCCACATACGACAATTCCTACAGCAATTCCCACTGAACAAAAATAAGTAACTGGACAAAACTCAACAACGAACCGTATTCTTATGCTGCGCGAATGAGGCGAAACGTACTCTCGACGCATCCACCCATTCGTCCATACGCCGGTCGGATCCCTCATAGTGAACATAATATTCAACGGGCGATTGTTGCGCACTTTGTTGTTGTGGCTGATGATGGTGGTGGTGCGGATTCGGATGATGCGTAGTGTCCGCAGTGGTGCCCTCTTGCGGTGGTGGTTGTTCTCGTCGAACGTCAATGATGAGTGCGTTTCGATGCGGTACTGTTTTGGTGCCACTGACACTCTGACGAACCAAACACATATCGCCTGGTTTCAGTTCGAATACATCCTTCTCTTGAACCATCTCCTTTCCACTCACGACAACAACTTCAATTAATCACATCACTCATTAAAAATCATATCAATGCCAACACTTTCGATTTCTTTCCGCAAATCATACGCATAACACTTCCGAATGCCTTTATCTCGGTGCTAATTATGAATGATTTAAGAGGAGCACAAAAGGTTCGTATGAAATATTTTGCCTTAGACGTTCATTACCAGAAAACGAGGTGAAATTGGATTTAAAGTTATCATTCCTACGATATTATTCTTAACTTTTCACTATATCAGATGATATGAGAGTGGTGTTCAGGAAACCGTAATATGTCTTTAGTACCATTACGCTGAGAAACTCGCAATGTATCAAAAAACTCCACGACATTTACCTACACCCTCTACAATAAAAAAAAGAATTTCAAGATATACTTCAAACTCACTGAAACTTCAAGTTCCAAAAGAAATTATTAACATACAAATATACATGATTACCTATACATAACCCCTATTAAATTTATCGCTTCTTATAAAACACATTTCAAGATATCAACGGCAAAAAACAAAATCGAATTCTTGAAGTAACGTCCCAAAAATTCGAGGAAAACATCCAACTGGATATCCACAAAAGCGTCATCAGAATGATCAATGAAAGCAACAATATCAAAGATATTCTTCAAACTGACTGTTGATTTCACAGTTTGGCGTTTAAGCCATAAATGTATATTAACACTAAAACATCATTCGATATGTATCATTTATTCATTCCACTATCTCAAACAACGATTCAATAAACGATCTAATAAACAACCGATCAACGAATGAGCAAAAACAATGACAATCGATCAATTAAAACAATAATAAACAAATTCACTGAGCAATAACAATTCATCAATCACGACTGACTCTTTTTACTCTTCACCAATTCAGCGAGATATTTAAACCTGAAAACATGCGACTGTTAAATTTACTAAATCATTCTCTTATGCACATTTTTCTTTATTCGAAAATAATTTGACATTTCAATTCACCATTAATTTCTCGACGAAAACTTCATATCATGAAGACACTCCGAAAATAATTTGTCTTCAAAAATTCTGTCAACAATCATTTCCACAAAAATATTGCTAACAAAAATCAAATCCAACTTTCTCACCAATTCTTAAACTCATACAGATTAAACTCATACAGTGAATCCAAACCATCAAATTTCTCTAAATTTCATGAATTTCTCTCTAAAATTGAGATTAAGGCTGAAAATGTGATCAGTCAAAGTGGATCTTCTCAATAACGTATCATAGCACTCGCCTCTTAA